TTAAAATTGTTAGATCTTGTTGGATAGACCCTTTAATTCTGACACAGTGTCCTTCCTCATCTCTTATGGTCTTTTGCTTAAAATACAATTTATCTGGTATAAGGATTCCCACCATAGCTTTCTTTTGATGTCTATTAACAGGATAAATTGTTTTTCATCCCCTTACTTTGAATCTGGAGGTGTTTTTGGGTCTAAAATCAGTTTCTTGTAGACAGCATATCATTGGGTCTTGTTTTGTTGTTGTTTTTTTTTTTAATCCATTCTGATACCCTGTGTCTTTTGATTGGGGCACTTAACCCATTTACATTCAGGGTAGCTATTGAAAGATATGAATTTAGTGCCATCAGATTGCCTATAAGGTGACTATTATTGTATATTGTCTCTGTTCCTTTCTGGTCTGTTCCTTTTAGGCTCTCTCTTTTCTTAGAGGACCCCTTTTAATATTTCCTGTAGGGCTGGTTAAGTGTTTGCAATTCTTTTACTTTTTGTTTGTCTTGGAAGCTTTTTATCTCTTCTTCTATTTTCTTTTTTTTAAAGATTTTATTTATTTATTTGACAGACAGAGATCACAAGTAGGCAGAGAGGCAGGCAGAGAGAGAGGAGGAAGCAGGCTCCCTGCTGAGCAGAGAGCCCAATGCGGGGCTCGATCCTGGGACCCTGGGATCATGACCTGAGCCAAAGTCAGAGGCTTTAACCCACTGAACCTCCCAGGCCCCTCTCTCCTTCTATTTTCAATGACAGTGTAGTTGGATATAGTATTCTTGGCTGCATATTTTTCTTGTTTAGTGATCTGAGTATATCATACCAGTCCTTTCTAGCCTGCAAGGTCTCTGTGGCTATGTCTGCTGCCAGTCTAATATTTCTACTGTTGTATGTTACAGACCTCTTGTCCTGAGCTGCTTTCAGGATTTTCTCTTTGTCACTGAGACTTGTATGTTTTACTATTAGAGGATGGGGTGTGGACCTATTTTTATTGATTTTGAGAATGGGTTCTCTGTGCCTCCTGGATTTTGATGCTTGTTCCCCTTGCCAAGTTAGGGAAATTCTTGGCTATAATTTGCTCCAATATACCTTCTGCCCCCTCTCTTTCTTCTTCTTCTTCCAGGATCCCAGTTAATCTATATTGTTTTGTCTTATGCTATCACTTATCTCTCGAATTCTCCCCTTGTGGTCCAATAGTTGTTTGTTTCTCCTTTGCTCAGCTTCTTTATTCTCCATCATTTGATCTTCTATATCACTAATTTTCTCTTCTGCCTCATTTATGCTAGCAGTAAGAGCCTCCATTTTTTATTGCACCTCATTAATAGCTTTTATTTATTTCAACTTGATTAGATTTTAGTTCTTTTATTTCCCCAGAAAGGGATTTTTATTTCTCCAGAAAGTGATTCTCTAGTATCTTCCATGCATTTTTCAAGCCCAGCTAGCACCTTGATAATCATCATTCTGAACTCTAGTTCTGACATATAACTAATGTACATATTGATTGGGTCCCTAGCTATCGGTACTGCTTCTTGTTCTTCTTCTTCTTCTTTTTTTTTTTTTTGTGGTGAATTTTTCTGCCTTGTTATTTTATCCAGATAGGAATAGATGAATGAGAGAGCAAAATACTTAAAGGGTAGCAGTGACCCCAGAAAAATATACACTAACTAAATCAGAAAAGACCTGAAACCAAAGGGACAAGAAAGGGGGGAAAGAGAAAAATATATATGTATATTAGAGTGGTGTATAGAACAGAGATACACACTCGATTTTATGTATATTTTGGTGTGTTAGAAGAAACTACCTCCCAAAATTTTAAAGAAAGAAAAACTTATATGTACAAAAATAAAGGTAAACATGATGAAGGGATTGAATATGACTGTAAAGATGAAACTTAAATAAGATTCTAAAAAGGGAATTGATAAGTTGTTTGAAAAAAGAAAAGAAAAACAAAAAGGACTATGACAGTGAAAATTTAAAAAGATTTTAAAAAAGTATTGATAAGATAAAATAGTTTAAAAATGTTATAATAAGGGAGTGCCTGGGTGGCTCAGTGGGTTAAAGGCTCTGCCTTCAGCTCGGGTCATGACCCAGGGTCCTGGGATTGAGCCCCACATTGGGCTCTCTTCTCGGCAGGGTGCCTGCTTCCTCCTCTCTCTCTGACTGCCTCTCTGCCTACTGGTGATCTCTGTCTGTCAAATAAATAAAAAATCTTAAAAAAATGTTATAATAGGAAAGAGGAAAATAAAAAAATAAGAAAAAAATTAAAAAGATTTAATTTTGCAAGACTAAAGGATCATGGGGAAAAAGCCATGAATTCTATGCATTGCTTTCCCCTAGCTGTGGAGTTTCACAGTTCTCATTGATCGGTGAAGTTGGTCTTGACTTGATGTTGTTGCTGATCTCCTTGGGGAGAGGCCTGTTGCAGTGACTTTTAAATGTATTTGCCTGAGGCGGAATTGCACCACCCTTGCCAGGGGTCAGGCTAAGCAGTCTGCTTGGTTTTGTGCTCGGGAGCTTTTGTTCCCTGAATTCTTTCTGTAGAACTCTGGAGAATGGGGATGAAAATGGAAGCCTCCCAGTCTCCAGCCCAGAGGAGACAAGAACTTGGGGCCCCACTCCTTAGAGAAAAGAGGTCAATCACTCCCAGTCTCCCTGGTCTCCAGCTGTGCTCCGAGCTCACCTGGCCTGTGACCAATTGTTTCTATTTCTGGTGCACAGCCCCGTTTGGAGTCTCCAAACCTAGCAGATTCCTGCCTCGCTCCTGTGCTGCTCCTCCCTGGGGTGGAAGATGAGTCTCCCAGGTTCTTCCACTCATGGGGTCCTTGTTTGAAGAGCAGTGGCCTGGCTGTGACTTGGATCATGGTGTAAGGTAACCCGGAGCTGATAGCTCACTCCTTAGCTCTGTCTTTGCAGCCGGCTTCCCCACTCTGATACCTGGGAGCTCTGCTACTCAGACACCCCTGGTCTTTTTGTGACCCTGCAGGTCCTGAAACCACACTGTCTCCACGAGGGCTCCACATCCTGCTTAGCCTCTGGAGTGACATCCCGCAGTGGAGCAGACTTCTAAAAGTTCCAATTTTGTGCTCCACTGCTCTCTTACTTCCCTGGAGCTGGCCCCTCCCCTGTGGTCTATCTTTCTGTTGCTTTGGATTCACTTCTCTGTGCATCCCACTTTCCGGAAAGTGATCAATTTTTTGTTCCTAGAATTGCTGCTCTTCCTCTCTTCTCTTTCCTCTTTGGTTTGTAGCTGTTCAAAAATGTTTTGGTAACTATCTAGATGAGCTCCTGGGACATGATGATATTTAGGCCTCCTACTGTCCGCCATCTTGCTCCTTTCTCTATTTTATTAAAAAAAGTTTTATGTATTTATTTGTGTGTGAGAGAGTCACACTTGTGAGTGAACGGGGGTGGGGGAATAGGGGCAGAGGGAGAGGGAGAACTAGACTCCCCACTGGCTTGATCCCAGCATCTGGAGATCAAGACTTAAGCAGAAGGCAGATGCTTAACAGACTGAACCACCTAGGTGCCCCTTATACCTGTTACTTTTGAAGCAAATGAAAATAAGGCTGCCCTTATTATATATATTATTATATATCATATATATATATATATATATATATATATAATTATATATATATGTATTATTATAAATAAGGTGAAGAGCATGCCCCAGGAAACCAAGTTTAGTAACTTCACATCTAGGAACTAAATGACTAAAGTCCCATACACTGCTATTTCCAAATCCCATACATTGCTGTTCTAGAGTCATATGCGATAACATTCATGCAGCCTGTAACTAGTAATAAAAAGAACTATAAATACTTGATTCCTGTGCATTTCCCACAGAGACGTATGTCACATGGACTTGTGTGGAGGAGGGAGAAGGGTTTAGTTGGTTTAGGTGAAATTCAACAGTGTCAGGTTCACCTGGACTCAGGTGATAGAGCCTGCATTCTGTCCACTCAATACCTGGCACTTAGCAGGTGCTTAGTTAGCATTTGCTGGTTGGTTGATGGAAAAAATTTGTCCTTTTCAGTCCTACTGAACAGAGGAGCCCTTTTTCAGTCAAAGGCTGATTTAGCCCAAGGTGACCAACAGGGAGTCTCAGCCTAGAGGTTGGCAGTGACAAGAGGGACAGGTTGAGAGGGACTCAAGCTACTGAGTGACCCGACAGCTAGTGGAGCCTGACACATGGAAGGGGTTGAGCTGGCCTGGCCAGGTGATAGATGGGGCCAAGAGTTCTGTAGAGCCACCCGACCAGCCCTGTTCTCCATGGATGCTGTCTGGTGCTCTCAGGCCTTGTGACTGTAATACCCCTCTCTGTTGGATCATGAACTGGGCTGGCATCTCAGAGGTGAGATGCTCAAACTTGGATCTTGTAGGTGGAAAGGATAGGAGGTAGGTCCAGGTCAGAAGAGTGTTGTCTGGAAGACACAGGTGTTGGTGGGCACTGAACACTCTCAGTGGTAAGCAGGGATGCAGGAGACTCAAGGCCAAGTTGGTCCCTGAGCTCAGAAGAGGTCAGCAAAAGGAACTCAACTCAGTTGAGGTGAGATTCCAGAGCTACTCAAGAGACTCAGCTCCAATCCATGCCAGCTTCCTTGGACGGATGTCCAGCTTGAGAAGGTCCCTGTCACTTCCCAGTGGGGTAGGGCTACATCCTTGAGCTGTTGCCCTAGACTGGGCCAGCTTGGTGTCCAAGGCCCACAGTGTTTCCTTCCTCCTTGCCAGAGAACACAGTGAGAGGATGTAAGAAGTTCACCCTGAGCCCCAGGCACAGAGAGGTTCATGGTTTCTCCTGGTGGTACTCAGCTTTGGCCCTGGCAGAAGGGCAGGGTCTGAGAGACAGGTGTAGGTAAGCGGGAGCTGGAAAGAACTTTGCATGGGGTTGGGGGAAAGGGGTGGAGGACGAAGAAGAGGAAGCAGAAAATAGCAGAATTGTGTCATTGGCCTTGTAAGAACAGATTTGATGCTAGGGAATGAAGGCCAATGAATAAACAAGAAACCAGCCCTTCACATTCAGTTAAGAGACATTTATTTGATGGCTGACATTCAGGTAAGACACATTTATTCGATTACTGTTGCCTTCCCTGCCACCCTTTCCAGTGTGATTCTGGATCAGCTCTAGAGCAAATAGTCTGGCTTCTGTAAGTAGAGGCTTTTCATGGTTTTCTTTATCCAAGGCAGGAAAGGTGAGATTTTGGTGTAGACCCGGGGAGGTGTCCCATCATTTTGTCCATAGGACACAATGCCCTGGGCCACATTGTTACACACGAGAGGGCCTCCAGAGTCCCCCTGTGGACAGAGATAGGGAAGGAGTGAATCAGTTCTCCTGCTGCCCGCATCCTCCCCAGCCCCTCTGAGAAGACTGCCTTGTGTGACCACCATGGGAGATGGGAGGACAGGACAGGGCCGGACCTTGTCAGTGCTTCACTTCACCCCAGGTGGCAGCTCCCTCTCCTTCCCTGGGTCCCAGGTCCTGTGCTGAAGGACTGCAGGCTCCACTCCCCTGTTTAGGTACCCAGAAGTGGGTGGGCAGGGCTGACACTCAGCATAGAGGCCAAGCCCGGTAACCCAGGTGGGGACCAGCTCTGAGGTGCCACCTGGTTTTCACTCCTACATGCCCAGGGAGCAGAGATTTCTAGCATCGGTGGCCCGGCACGGGGCAGAGTGCGGCAAATTCATCCTGTAGGAGCACCTCATTTGAATACATCCTACACCCTCAGCAGGCTCGCAGAGGGTCTGGGTGCCCCCATCTCTGGCTGTTCCCCCTCCTTTCCTCACGAGAAAGATCACTGCTTGGGTCTCCAGATCCCAGGTCTTCCCCAAACACCCCTGTCCCCAGACCCATGCTAAGCAGACACCCAATCTCACCTGAAAGGAAGACTTCTTTTCCTCTGGGTTCCCCACGCACAGCTCAATGGTGCGGTTGTAATGCTTGGGATAGCGGGATTTGCACTTGCCATCGTCCTGCACTTCCAGCCTCACCTCCTGCAGAGTGTCTGGGTACCTGCTTATCTTGGCCATCTTCCCCCAGCCGGCCACAGTGCACACCTGTCTTGGCCTTACCCGGTTCTTGTCCCTGGGCAGGCGGAGGGGCTTCACAGCTGCAGTCTGCTTGGCCTCTCTCTCCAGCTGTTGGGAAGAGGCAAGAGAGTCTAGCTCAGCCAGTGGCCTCGGGGCCTGGACACCCCGATGAGGCTGCACTGTCTTCTCTCTGTCCTGAGCTTGAGCTAGGGACACTGGCCAGGAAGCCAGGATGGAAGGAGGGAGGGGACAGGTCCCAGTGGGAGGAAGAACCAGTGTGGACCCAGGAAAACAAGGGCAGCAAGGAGGTTTCCTTACCATCAGTAACATGATGTCGTTGGAGTAGTTATTGGGATCATAGTCTGGGTGAGGGATGGATGTTTTCACGGGGATGACCTGCTGGGTTGTCTCTGGTTTCATGATGTTGTGGGCCCCCAGGGTGACCTGGATGGAGCTACACAGAGGGCAGAGTGGGGTGTGGGGGTGTGGAATCATAGGATACAGCCCACGGTCTGTGAAGGGCAGGTGGCAATTGGGGTGGGCAGGGCTGGAGTTGATGGGGAAACTGAGGCAACAGGAGATTCCCAGGTTTGAGCTGTCTGTGCCTTCTGCTTCTCAGTGGCTGAGGTAGGTTTCTGGAGCCATAGGTGACTGGGGTCATTTACCCAGAGAAACATATGAATGAGATGAGATTGCATTCTGATGCCAAAGCAGGTCCCAGCTCTTCTCTTACTCCAGCAATGCACCTGGTTCCGGCCTCCCCTCTCCCCACCACCTACCTGACCTCCCTCACCCCCTTTCAGGAGTCTCCCGGCTCATGCGTTCCTCAGAGCACCCAGGGCAGAAGGCAGGGCTCTGTGCCAGGGTTTTCAGGGCGGTGTAGGCTCATGGTCACTCCTTACCTCCCATAGCAGTGAGCGGCCGTCAGCACGAACTTCTTGTGTACCAGGAACCCACCACACTTCTTGCCATTATTCTGATTCCTGATACTAAGATATGCCATGTAAGGCCGGGAGTGGGGCTTGGCCTCATGTCCCCCGATGATCTCTCCTAAGGGAAAATTCTGTTCTGTTCCTGTGTACCCACTGAATGCACTGGACAGGCACAGCCTGAATTTGGGAGGGCGTGGGAGGGGCCTCCACTCCCTCCCCTGGGAGTTGGAAAAAGACAGTGTCTCGGTCTGTGAATCTTTCTTCTACACATGACCAGAGGGGAGCATACCTGTTGTAGGGACAGAGACATCCTAGGGGATCCTGAGCAGTCCCTCTCTTGACTTTGCTTTGTTTCTAGCAAGTTTCTAAGGCCCCTATCATCCTGTGAAGTCTTCTCCAGTGTTTAGGGCCTAAGTTTAGTTATATAGGTATTGTCTCACAAGGCCTGTTTCCATGGGTCATGTAGTAAATACCTAGGTAACTATTGTTTGGCTGCGTGAGGGCAAGCCTCCCCAGGGAGCCTCCAGATGAAGGCTGATAGAGCCAGTGCTGCTAGGATTCTGGAAAGCAGAGTTTAGGTCTGCCAAGGTCCTGTTTGAAAAAGGGGAGCTGCTAACAGCCTGGGAAGAAAAACAGAGTTGGAGAGAGGGATGAGGAGCCTTGGGATAGAGCCAAGGTAACAGCAGTCTCCTGGGGACCATGGTCCATCTCCCAGTGGGGTCTGCTGAGCCTGGGCTTCTCTCCCAAGCAGATGCTGAGGGAAGCACCTGGCTCACCCCACAGGGAAGCCTGGTCTGCTCTGTCCTCTGCAGGGGGATTTATGATGTTCTCTTTTCCAGTTTCTCACCCTCTGCTATGTACTTCTAGGAAAGCTCCATTTCCAGATGTCAAAGGCAGAGCCTGGGGAGGGGACAGTACCCACTGGCTCTTCTAGGGACCAGCCTTCTGCTCTGCCATTTCTGCTGGTGGCTTACCCAGCACCCCACTTGAGAGTGGGAGGCAGATGACAACAGGGTGCAGAATGTTCCTGGTGGATAGGTGGATCAGGGGTGTGCAGAAGGGCCAGGAGGGCTGTGCCCACTGTGGGATGGGGTCGGGCCTTGGAGGGTGGGGTGGTCACTTACCTGCCTGGGCCCCGGAAGGCAGGCGAAAGGCCAGCAGAAGGAGCAGGAGTGGCTGCATCTTTCCCAGGAGGCTGCCCAGGTTGGGGCTACTGGCGCTTCGTCTGTGCTTTTAGCTCCCAGGAAAGGAAGGGGGTGCAGATGGGCTCACTGACATTGAACTCCTCTCTGGTTTGTGGTGCTTTATCCTAGAAGGCTTTCTATGAAAGCTTCCCTGCCCCCACCCCTCTGTCTGATGACGTTCTTGGGGTGGTTGTGTGAGAATTGTGCTGTGACCACATCAGAACCCACACAAGTTGACTCAGAGCAGACCACTTGTTCCAGCCCAGAACAGGACAGCGAGTGTACAAGGTGGGGACTGGAGGATGTGGTATCAGCCTGGAGGGTTTCTAGAGCCCAGAAACCTGAGTCTCCAATGATAGGGCCCCCACTGCCTCAGCTCCGTGCTGAGTCCATCAGGATGATTTCTTTAGCAGCTGTGTATTTAGGCTCCTTATCTGAATGATCCAACATACCAGAGATGTGTCTCCGTCCCTCAGAGAGCATGTCCGGTGGAGGAGACAGAAATAGCAACAACCAGGGTCCAGCATGGTCAGGGCCATGGTAGAGGGAGGCACAAGACAGTAAGAGAGCGTGACCACTATTTACTAAATCCATAGGGCAACCCCTTCATCACCCTGGCTTCTTTTCTAGGGATTTTAACATCTGTTTTTAAATTACAAATGCTCAGAGTCATAGAGTCCACGTCTTTTGTCAATGCTTTTAACAAATGCCTTGTATTTGACACTTAGCTTATGTTAATGAACCATCTTGACCCTAGACATCGAATCCACTGGTTGACTGAAGCCTAGGTCATTCCTCCTTTGGGTAGACTGGGCTCAGTCCTGTCTAAACCACCTAAAACACATGAACTATGACTGGGGAAGGGTTGGTTTCCAAAAGAAGTTTGAATTACTAGATTGTCAATACCATGTGAAGTGGGAAAGTACACTGGGCAAGCAAAGACCAAGAATTGTCCTTTTAGCATTCTCTGGCCTCTGCCCAGAGAGCCACACTTCTGAGATAGCAGGTTTGTCACATAATAGACTCAACTTTTACTAAGCAAACTGCTGTTGATCTCACTACCATTGGATGTGAGGGGCCATTGTTTCTAAACAGCTAAGCTCAGTTCTGTTTAAAGAACGACTAAGTATCTCTAAGTAGGTAGAGTCTGGTGATACAAGTTTCCATCTCTACATTTTCTGTCCTTTACAATTTTTCTATGAGGAATATTATCTATCAGAATATATAATTCTGGTGTAAATATCCTCCTTCTCAAATCAGGTATATTTATCAAACCTTTAATTTTTTGAAACTAGCTTGCCCAGTTGTGGACATTTAAAAAATAAGGTATCTTTCTGATTATAGTGGTAATATATGTCCATTGAGAAAATTTGGAAAGTAGGAAGGAAAAATGTCATTTATTTGCCTATCTCCTACAAACTGTTACCTAAGCAATGTATTTATTTTTAAAAAGATTTATTTATTTATGAGACAGAGAGAGAGAGAGAAAGGGAGAGAGAGCACCCAAGCAGGGGGAGGAGCAGATGGGGAGGGAGAAAGAATCCCAAGCAGTCTCCAAGCTGAGCATGGAGCCCATGGTGGGTCTTGATCCTAAGACCCCAAGGTTACAACTTGAGCTGAAACTAAGAGTTCAGTGCTCAGCCAACTGAGCCATCCATGAGTCCCAGCAATGCATTTTAAACGTTTTTTGTTTGTTTGTTTGTTTTTTAATTTGACAGAGAGAGATCACAAGTAGACAGAGAGGCAGGCAGAGAGAAGGGGGGAGGCAGGCTCCCTGCTGAGCAGGGAGCCCGATGTGGGGCTCGATCCCAGGACCCTGAGACCATGACCTGAGCTGAAGGTGGAGACTTAACCCACTGAGCCACCCAGGCACCTCCAGCAATGCATTTTAAATACCTGGAATCATACTGTACATACAACATAGTTTTGTTTTATCCTCACTTCATCCCATAACTGAAGTATTTTTGTCATGCCATTAATGACTATTAGTTTCTCTTTCCTAGTTATTAAAAAATTTAGCAAGCAATTATTTTCTAAAATTGTTGGGACATTCGAAAAACAATTTAAGCAAAGAGAAAATTAAAATTACCTGATTTCTCTTTTTTAAAAGATTTATTTCATTTTTATTTTAGAGAGAGAGCAGAGGGGAGGGGCAGAGGGAGAGGGAAAGAGACTCCATGCTGTGTGCGAGCTGTATGGGGCTTGATCTCACAACCCTCAGGTCACTACCTGAGCCAAAACCAAGAATCCAATGCTTAACTGACTGTGCCACCCAAGTGCCCCTACAATTATCTGATTTCTGGGGCACCTGGGTGGCTCAATTAGTTAAGGTGGCTTAATGTCAGCTAAGGTCTTGATCTCAAAGTTGTGAGTTTAAGCCCCACATTGGCCTCCACTCTGGGTGTGGAACCTACTAAAAAAAAAAATGATTTATCATCATTCATTGATAGTCATCTTTAATGACTTGAAGTGTGATCTAAAATATTTTTCTCTCACATATAACTGCATTTATTAAAATTAAAAGAGGATTATGTTAAACATAAGCCTATGACCCACATAACAATTGAGGCGAATTTCACATAACTCAAAATTCATTAAAGTGTACAGCCCAGTGGCATTTTGTACATTCCAAATGTTGTGGGACTACCCCCTCTTTCTAGTTACAAATCTTTTTCATTACACCAGGACATCCATCCATTCCATCCACAACTTAATGTGTACTTAATAACTTTCACTTCTCCATTCCCCAACCCTGCCCAGTCCACTGGCAACCAGTAATCTTATTTCTATCTCCATGGATTTGCATTCTGAATATTTTATATAAAAGGATCATGAGATATGTGACCTGTTGTGTCTGGCTTCTATACAAGGGTTCCTATTTCTGTACATCCTTGTTTTTTTTTTTTTAAGAGTTTATTTATTTATTTGACAGACAGAGATCACAAGTAGGCAGAGAAGCAGGCAGAGAGAGAGAGGGAGAAGCAGGCTCCCTGCTCAGCAGAGAGCCCGATGTGGGGCTTGATCCCAGGACCCTGAGATCATGACCTGAGCTGAAGGCAGAGACTTTAACCCACTGAGCCACCCAGGCGCCCATGCACATCCTTGTTAATACTTGTTATTTTTCATTTTTTTATTATAGCCATTCTAGTGTGTGGAGAGGTATCTTATGGTTTTGATTTATATTTCTTTAATGACTAATTATGTTTAACTTCTTTTTAAAAATTTTTTAAAGATTTTATTTATTTGACAGACAGAGATCACAAGTAGGCAGAGAGGCAGGCAGAGAGAGAGGAAGGGAAGCAGGCTCCTGGCTGAGCAAAGAGCCCAATGTGAGGCTCGATCCCAGGACCCTGGGATCATGACCTGAGCAGAAGACAGAGGCTCTAACCCACTGAGCCACCCAGGCACCCCTATGTTTAACATCTTTACTATGTTTGCTGGTCATTTGTATCTCTTCCTTGGAGGAATGTCAATTCAAGTCCTTTGCCCATTTCTTGATTGAGTTGTTTGTCTTTTTTTTTTTTTTTTTAAGATTTTATGCTTCCTACTGAGAAGGGAGCCCAATGTGGGACTTGATTACAGGACTCTGGGATCATGACCTGAGCTGAAGGCAGATGCTTAACCAACAGAGCTACCCCCGTGCCCTAGTTGTTTGTCTTTTTGTTGTTGAGTTATAAGAGTTCTTTGTCTATCCCAGATACTATACTTCTACCAGATACATAATTTACAAATACTTTCTCCCATTCTGTAGATTGTATTTTCACTTTCTTGATACTATTCTTTAGTGTATGAATTTTAAAATTTTTATGAAATCCAATTTATCTATTTTATCTTTTGTTGTTGGTGTTTTTGGTGTCAAATGTAAGAATCCAGTGTCAGATCAGAGGTCATGAAGATTTGCCATCTGTTTTCTTCTAAGAGTTTTATGGTTTAGCTCTTATATTTAGGCTGTTGATCCATTTTGTATATATATGGAATGAGGTAGGGGTTTAACTACATGCTTTTTATGTCATTATCTGGTTGTCCCAGCAACATTCATTGAAAATATCATTCTTTCTCCACCGAGTGGTCTTGGCACCCTTGTCAAAAATCAATTGGCCATGGATGGCTGGGTTTATTTCTGGGCTCTCAGTTCTATTCCATTCATCTATATGTCTGTCCTTAAGCTGGAACCACACTAGTTTTGATTGCTGTAGCTTCATAATATGTCCTGAAACCAAGAAGTCTGATCCTCCCACTTAGTTTTTCTTTTTTAATGTTGTTTTAGCTATATGGGACCCCTTGCAATTCCATGTGAATTCTAGAATTGGCTCTTCCATTTCAGCAGAAAATGTCACTGGGATTTGGACAAAGATTGCTTTGACTCTGTAGATAACTCTGGGGAGTATTGCTATCTTAACAATATAGGCCTTCCAATCCAGAAACATAGGATGTCTTTCCATTAAGTAGTTCTTCTTTAACTACTTTCAATGGCACTTTGTAGTTTTCAGTGTATAATTTGTTCACCTCCTTGGTTAAATTCAGTGTAGTCCTAGGTATTTTATTCTTTTGGATTCTATTGTAAGTGGAACTGTTTTTAGAATTTCCTTATTGAATATTCATTGCTGGTGTATAGAAACAATTTTTTCTTCTTTCTCAAGTTTTCTTAGGCTATGTCTCAATGAACATGTTGGCACTGAAGTTTAAAATACAATACCACTGGGGCACCTGAGTGGCTCAGTTGATTAAGTGTCTAACTTTTGATTTTGGCTCAGGTCATGATCTCAGGGTCCTGAGATTGAGCCCCATGCCAGGCTCTGTGTTCAGTCGGGAATCTGCTTGAGACTCCCTCTCCCTCTTCCTCTGCCTCTGTGCCCCGACTCTCTCTCTTTCTCTTAAATAAGTCAATCTTTGAAAAATATATATAATGCCACTTATAACTGCTCAAGAAAAGAGAAATACTGTGATATAAATCTCTCAAAACCTGTATGGACTTACTTTCTGTTTAAGATGAACATAACTGAATTGTTTTGGCATTCTTGAAATATCAATATTATCGTGATGGAGAACATTTTAGTGGTTGCTCTTTGTCAGGGATGTGAGGGTGAGGAGGGAGGTGGGTGTAGCTATAAA